ATTGGTAAGTATGTATGTATGTATGTATGTATGTATGTATGTATGGGTCTTTATTTACATTGTCTGAGCCGATAATGCCGAGCATGATGTTGGTCATTTCATTTGGTGTTTGTAGTGGATTCAACTCGGAATATAGAGTATCACATCTTCATAATTGGAATATAACCATAGGCGGCTGTGGCTCAAGCAGAAGGGGAGAGAGACGAAGCAATGGCGGCACATGATAACATGAAGGACATAGTGACAGCAGCGGAGCAGCGCGTGAGCACATTAGAAGCCGAACTAGAGTCCGCAAAGGTATTTAAAATGGGAGATATGGACTCAAATCGTGTTTGTAGTCACAGGTGAGTTGAATAGGGTAGGCTTGTCATGTGTCGACAAGTTTTGAAGTACACATCCATGCAATAAGTATAGGTTAAGTCCATACAATAAGTATAGATTAAGTATAGGATTTGTATAGGTTAAGGATAGACAATGAATTATAGATTAAGGTCTATATGTTATAGTTATGTAATAAATCAAGTATAGGTTAAGGACTATATGTTATAGTTATGTAATAAAATAAGTATAGGTTAAGGACTATATGTTATAGTTATGTAATAAAATATGTATAGGTTAAGGACTATATGTTATAGTTATGTAATAAAATATGTATAGGTTAAAGACTATATGTTTTAGTTATGTATAAAATAAGTATCGATTAAGGACTATATGGGTTCGAGGTATAAATCCCCTGCTAGACCCTAGACTCTGAACTCTAATTACCCTAACCCTATGTGCTGTTACTGATTTTTGTTGTTCACACCAGGCGGCGGTGGCTGAGGTGGAGTCCGAGAAACAGAGCTTCGGAGAACGGCTGTCACTCGTCACAGCGCGAGAGTCGGATTCGACTCAGTCGATGACCGATGCTCAGGTACAGTTGACGCAACCGCGGGTGTGTGAGATCATAAATGCGGTTTAAGTAAAAACCAAAACCCTAAAACCCTGAAGCCCTATCACCTCTGACCAT